AACCTGGTGAATCTCCAAAGTTCTTGCTTGTTGACAGCACGAGGGCAGGTGGACTGCCGAGTCGATTCACCTACAGTGGATCTGGATCACAAGAATACCTGCATATTAATGGAGTTCAGGCTGAAGATGAGGCTGTTTATTACTGTGCTTGCCATGGCTGTGAGGGCTCCGGCACAGTGCTGCAGTTCAATAAAGCTCTCATACAAAAACCCCAACAAGCCCTAAAACAGACTTACATGTGCCTCAAACACTCACAGCTCTACCCAGTGACACTCACTCAGTTCAGTGTGAGATGATCATGAGTTCTAGACTGAATCCTGACCCAGCTGTGGTCATTTTGTCCTGTTTAGACTAGTTTGAATTCTGCACTCGTGGTCACTGAAGTGTTCAGTCTGAGCAGAAGCAGTGAGATACGGCCCTGAGGTTTTTGTACTGAGCTCTAACACTGTGATACACTGTAGTTATCGGTGGAGGCACTGAAGTAACTTTCGGTGAGTGAAATCAGCTCCTGTCTAGAAACTTTGCAGAACTTTTAACAACATTTAAACTAAAATAAAAATGTAAAATACTACAAAAATCTATCATATTATAAAAACATGCAAATCTTTCTTTATTTAAAAAAGTCAGGAAATATATAATGAGAGAAAAAAAGATGCAAAATACTTAAATGATTTTTTGTTAATTATTTTTTTTTTACTTTTTTTGATGTTTTTTTTTTCAAAAGCAGAGGTAGAAATTAACTAGACTCGTTCATCCAGTTCTGTATATTTAGGTAGAAGACATATTTGTACTTTATTTCAACTCAAGTACATTAGTAAGGAAAGTTCTTCTACCACTTCTACCTCAGTTCCCTTTTAGTTCTTCACATTTAGCTACTAAATACTGTCACTGGGTTTAATTTCATTCTGTTCTGTTGGTTCAGCTCCTGGTCTGCTTTGCTGTTGATCACATCTCTCACTTTTAGCTTTGGCAGTTTATTGTAGTATCCCAGAAAGAGAAGAACAGAGCCTGACAAGCTTTAGAACTGCAGAGGAGCTTTTTAATACACAAACATCTATCAGCACTGAAAGTGGAGTTTGTTTTGTAACCTGATACTTTTTAAACTCGTGTTCATCGGCTTTTACTTTTTGAGATCATTATTTCATTGAGGCTACATCCCTTTTTCTTAAGGATGGTTTTGTCCTCCCCTGAGCAAGAATTCTTAGAGAAGCCAAAAATGTGCATTTGAATTTTAATATAATTGTAAATAATCACTTTCAGAACAAAACCTCCAAAAATCTCCAAAACTGGAAGGAAGGAAAAATTACAAGGACCGAAAAAACATTCAGACCTTTCAATTTAAGAAAGTCATTTTGGGCCATTTTATTGGTCTTTTCAGCATGAAATGTTGACAAAATATTAAGGACAGCTAGCATATTTTTAATGATTTAAAAAGGCATATATGTGAGTATAGACATAGGGTACATTTCACTTTTTAGTTACTATTTTGGAGAAACATTTCTTTTCGCTAGTGATACATTTTTCACCAATTGAGATTGAGATAAAAACAGTTTGTTACAGTTATGAAATTAATTTGAAGTTAAAAAATATTTTAAAATATAATATTTCTTCAATATTGTTTTTTTTTATTTACATCATTTCTTAATCATTGAGAAAAGTGTAAAACACTGATAATTAAGTCATAATATTATTAACATTATGAAATCACAGGTAGCTACCTTCTCATGCAATTATTTTAATAGATAATATTGTATTATACATTTTTTAATGATGAAATATTGAAAAAAAATATCTTATAATACCTTCTAATATCTAGTTAATGATATTTCAATCTACAATGCGTAAGTTATTATTGCATAAAATAACAGCAATTATTACAATGACAAGTGATTCCTTTTGAACAGTTTTGTATATGGATCTATATATATGCATCTTTATGTTTGGCCTCTAGATGAGCTTCACTTTAGCAAAGCTAAAGCCTAGTTAGTCAAAGCTGTCTTAACTCTTAAATTGTCTTAAATCAATAAAAAATCCATTACTGATGTAAAAGCTGACAACAATGCAATATTTAATGATTATGATTATTTTATCCTGTAGAAGAAATATAACAATAAGAGCACTATCAGTAAGAATTATTCTAATAGAGCTCCATAAATTTTATTTCTCAATTTTTTTACTCTCCAGCTTCACCAACACCTCCCTCTCTGCTCCTCCTGGCTCCCCCTCAGTCTCCCCCTTCTGGCTCTGAGGTCAGTGTGGTTTGTATGGCTCGGGGTTTCCGTCCTGATGGTGCCGTCCTGTCCTGGACTGAGGACAGCACCACCATAGCGGGTCCCGAGGTCCACACGGGTCCGTCTCAGCGCCAGTCCGACGGCACCTTCATCCAGAGCAGCATCCTGAAACTCCGCCCAGAACACTGGAGCTCTGGACGTTCCTACACCTGCCACCTGACTCACCCTGCCCTGACCAGTCCACTGAGTGAGAGCGTCAGTGTGGGTCAGTGCAGCTAGAAAGCTGCAGAAATGAACATGGAGAGCTTAACAGCGCCATCATGAGCATAAACAGAGTAAATCCATTAAAAGATTGTGTTCAGTATTAGAGTCTGTCTGTTCTTCTCCTCATCTTCTCTAGCCTGAGGTTTATGTTGATGGCGTCCTCTAGAGGCAGCGCTGCTTATTTCATCTGGAGCAGATTTCTGTACTTGTGTTGCTGATTTCATCCTTTTTCATTAATAAAATTATTATCAATGATGAAATGATCTGTGAAGTTTCTGTAATCATATGCAGCAGAGATGATGTTTGAGCTTCCAGTTAGTTAAAGCAAACTTATGTCATTAGCAGTTGGTGGATACATGTAAACCAGGACTTCATTTATTATTAATTCTTAATGGAAAATAAATTAATAACTTTTAAGAATAAATACATGGTATGTCCAACAGTATCCAGACAGCCTTCTAAGCAGTGAATTCATCTACTTAAAGTTTGCACCCACTGCTGACACAAATGCACAGCTTGAACAATCTAGAAAGAAAAGCATTGTCAATAGAATGGGACAGTCTAGAGCAGCCATACATGAGTCAAAACTCACCATGTCCAATGCCAAGTGTGGGCTAGAGGGGTACAAAGCCCCCCAGCATTGTGCTGTAGAGCAGAGGAGCTGCGTTTTCGGGAGTGATGGAGCTCCATCCAAAATCTTTAAGATGATCCAGAACTAATCATCCAACATCAGTACCCGACCTCACTAATGCTGATGTGGCAGAATGCAATCAAATCCTCACAGCAATGTTCTAACATCTGGTGTAGTTTTTCTACAGAAACCCTGAAACTGTAAGATGGAACAAAATAAAAACGAATAATGTGTTCCTGAATTTTAGCTTCACTTCTCCCTCATATTTTTTCCACTACTGAGATAAGCCTGAGAGATAAGGGGGAAGAGAACAGCCGCCCCCTGCTGCTTAAAGCTGGTATTGAATGCTAATTGTTAGCCGCTAAGCTCCCCAGTGAATTTCTCTTTTACCTGATACCCAAAGAGTATATAAAGAGGGATAAAAAAACTGGCCCCTGCTGGTCAAACCTGGTGTAATGTGTGAAGTGTAAGCCAATATATTTTTTCATACAGAAGTAAAAAAATAGAGGCTTTTGATTTTTTTAATGGCTGAAATTGTACACATCATGCTGGAAATATTTCTTCAGCTGTTTTTGGTGTGTTTGATATAAATAAAAATAAATAGAGTGCAACTTAAATTCAGGAACACATTTTCAATTTTTTCATCTCATCCTTCAGGGCTTCCCTGGTGTAAGTTTTACAGTAAAACTCTGAGTGCCAGGACCAGGGTTAACAAACACTGATCTAAGCCGTCCCAGGAAACTGAGGGCTGTTACTGCAGAAAAGGAAGCCAAAGTCAGTTCAGCTCCTTTAAAATTCATTTGTGTAGCACATTTTACGATGTGTGTTGTTACAAAGCAGCTGTACAGAGATCCAGGTCTGAGCCCCAAACAAGCAAGCCGAGGTCCAGAGAGGCAAGAAAAACTCCACAAGAACAAGAGGAAGAAACCTTAAGAAGAACCAGCACTCAAAAGGGGAAGTCATTCTCTTCTGGTCGACACCGGATTGCAAAATTATAATACAACAAGAGCAATATAAATCAAGAATAACAGATCATCTTCCATTAGCACTGACAACATAATATGTATAATGCATTATGTTAACAATACATACTGCATAATAAACACGCTATAAAGACTAATGCATTTTTGAAACATTAATAGATATGCCTTATGCATGCATTATACATATATCAATGTGATTCTTGTTACCCATGTTTTTTCAATCATTCTGAATAATGATAACACCAATGGCTTTTCAGAGCTCTATAACAGCTCTATAATTGGTTTTCTCTGTGTATCTGAATCAGTCTATTCACTGTCCTTGTACAGCACATATAATGATCTGAACAGAGTTGGTAAGCAACAGAAATGCTCATCTGTACATTGCAGATGGGTCTGTAGCAGTTTCAGTTCTAATAGAGATCTATTATGAGCTTCTCCTGGAGTCCCAGGAGACCTGCTTTACATACAGTTTATGTTCATGTTCTGTTTTAACAGATCACCACTCGTCATGCTTCACTCTCCCTCTTGAAAGTTGCTTAAATTAAAAGTACTGCATCTGTAACACTGCAGAAAACATTCAGAGAAATTTTGCAGCCAAGATGTATATTTTAGTATATGAACGTTTTGATTAATAATACATGGTCATGAACAGGGTAGAGTAGGGTAAACTTGTGCAGCTACAGATGGGTTGCTGTCAGTAACTATAAACCTTCAAAGTTTATCTATTGTGTACATGTTTCTGATAAAATTATCAAAGAGTGCAGATACAAGGCAGATGTTTCTAATAAACTGGCCACTCACTGTATATTGCAGGAAGTGAGATTGGAGTGCACCATATATGAGCATGTGTGTGTTCATGGGGATGTGTCTCTGCTCTGGCTGTGTTTAAAAGGCGTGATAGTGTGTGTGTGCTGCTTATACGCTTCTCTGAAAGACTCGTCTCTCTGATCATTTACACAGCTGAACATGATGATGCTGAACACTCTCTCCCTCACTGCACTCCTGCTCAGTCTCTATGGTAACTTTACTCAACATTTCAACCTCTCAGTGACCGTCTAGTGACACATCAGCTAAACCTCCTCCTAAATTCTGCTATTATTAAATTGCTAATCATTAAAATCGTCTGATTTCTGACAGCATTACTTTGAAATAATGTGGAACTCAAACTGCTCTGTTCACTTCAACAGGTCTGGAAGGTCTTGTGTTGACCCAAGAAAAGTCAGTGTCTGTTCAAGCTGGTCAGAATGTGAAGATTCTGTGCTCTCCCAGTAGCAGTAGTTGGACATTAACATGGTACCAACAGAAACCTGGTGAATCTCCAAAGTTCTTGCTTGTTGACAGCACGAGGGCAAGTGGACTGGCGAGTCGATTCACCTACAGTGAATCTGGATCACAAGAATACCTGCATATTAACGGAGTTCAGGCTGAAGACGAGGCTGTTTATTACTGCGCTTGCCATAACTGTGAAAGCGGCATATCGCCACAGTGCTGCAGTTCAATAAAGCTCTCATACAAAAACCCCAACAAGCCCTAAAACAGACTTAAATGTGCCTCAAACACTCACAGCTCTATCCAGTAACACTCACTCAGTTCAGTGTGAGATGATCATGAGTTCTAGACTGAACCCTGACCCAGCTGTGGTCATTTTGTCCTGTTTAGACTAGTTTGAATTCTGTACTCGTGGTCACTGAAGTGTTCAGTCTGAGCAGAAGCAGTGAGATACGGCCCTGAGGTTTTTGTACTGAGCTCTAACACTGTGGTACAGTGCAATTTTCGGTGGAGGCACTGAAGTAACTTTGGGTAAGTGAAATCAGCTCCTGTCTACACACTATGAAGAACTTTTAACTACATTTAATCTAAAATAACTGCAATGCAATGTAAAATACTACAAAAATCTACCATATTATAAAAACATGCAAATCTTTTTTTATTTAAAAAAGTCAGGAAAATAATGAGAGACAAAAGATGCAAAATGCTTAAGCTGTAAAGAAGTTTTTTTTTTTTACTTTTGTAGTTGTTTTTTTGAACATTTAAAAATAAAAATAAGCAAAAGCAGAGGTAGAAATTAACTAGACTCGTTCATCCAGTTCTGTATATTTAGGTAGAAGACATCTTTGTACTTTATTTCAACTCAAGTACATTAGTAAGGAAAGTTCTTCTACTACTTCTACCTCAGTTCCCTTTTAGCCCTTCACATTTAGCTACTGAATGCTTTTACTGGGTATAATTTCATTCCGTTCCGCTTTGCTGTTGATCACATCTCTCACTTTTAGCTTTAGCAGTTTATTGTAGTATCCCAGAAAGAGAAGAACAGAGACTGACAAGCTTTAGAACTGCAGAGGAGCTTTTTAATACACCAACATCTATCAGCACTGAAAGTGGAGTTTGTTTTGTAACCTGATACTTTTTAAACTCGTGTTCATTGGCTTTTACTTTTTGAGATCATTATTTCATTGAGTCTACATCCCTTTTTCTTAAGGATGGTTTTGTCCTCCCCTGAGCAAGAATTCTTAGAGAAGCCAAAAATGTGCATTTGAATTTTAATGTAATTGTAAATAATCACTTTCAGAACAAAACCTCCAAAAATCTCCAAAACTGGAAGGAAGGAAAAATTACAAGAAAGGAAAAAACATTCAGACCTTTCAATTTAAGAAAGTCATTTTGGGCCATTTTATTGGTCTTTTCAGCATGAAATGTTGACAAAATATTAAGGACAGCTAGCATATTTTTAATGGTTTAAAAAGGCATATATGTGAGTATAGACATAGGGTACATTTCAATCATCTGAACAAAACCTTACCTGTCCATCTTTCATTTTTGAGATTTTTAATACTTTATAAAATTTGACAACACAAGCTGCTTTTTTAGAATCCAGTCTTGTTAGTTACTATTTTGGAAAAACATTTTTTTTCTGATAGTGATACATTTTTCACCCATTTTGATTGAGATAAAAACAGTTTGTTACAGTTATGAAATTAATTTGAAGTTAAAAAATATTTTAAAATATAATATTTCTTCAATATTGTTTTTTTTTTTATTTACATCATTCCTTAATCATTGATTAAGAAAAGTGTAAAACATTGATAATTAAGTCATAATATTATTAACATCCAGGATGCTATGAAAATGTATGAAATCTCAGGTAGATACCTTCTCATGCAATTATTTTAATAGATAATAATAGTGTATTATACATTATTTAATAATGAAATATTGAAAAAAATATCTTATAATACCTCCTAATAACTAGTTAATTGTATTTCAATCTATAATGCGTAAGTTACTATTGCATAAAATAACAGCAGTTATTACAATGACAAGTGATTCCTTTTGAACAGTTTTGTATATAGATCTATATATATATACATCTTTATGTTTGGCCTCTAGATGAGCTTCACTTTAGCAAAGCTAAAGCCTAGTTAGTCAAAGCCTTAACTGATGCTGAATCAATAAAAATCCATTACTGACGTAAAAGCTAACAACAATGAAATATTTAATGATTATGATTATTGTTATCTTGTGGAAGAAATATAACAATAAGAGCACTATCAGTAAGAATTATTCTAATAGACCTCCATAAATTCTATTTTCTCTCTATTTTTCTCTCCAGATCGTCCTGCGTCTCCTCCCTCTCTGCTCCTCCTGGCTCCCTCCCAGTCTCCCCCCTCTGGCTCTGAGGTCAGTGTGGTTTGTATGGCTCGGGGTTTCCGTCCTGATGGTGCCATCCTGTCCTGGACTGAGGACAGCACCACCATGGCGGGTCCCGAGGTCCACACGGGTCGATCTCAGCGCCAGTCCGACGGCACCTTCATCCAGAGCAGCATCCTGAAACTCCGCCCAGAACGCTGGAGCTCTGGACGCTCCTACACCTGCCACCTGACTCACCCTGCCCTGACCAGTCCACTGAGCGAGAGCGTCAGTGTGGGTCAGTGCAGCTAGAGAGCTGCAGAAATGAATGTGGAAAACTTAACAGTGCCATCATGAGCATAAACAGAGTAAATCCATTAAAAGATTGTGTTCAGTATTAGAGTCTGTCTGTTCCTCTCCTCATCTTCTCTAGTCTGAGGTTTATGTTGATGGCGTCCTCTAGAGGCAGCGCTGCTTATTTCATCTGGAGCAGATTTCTGTACTTGTGTTGCTGATTTCATCCTTTTTCATTAATAAAATTATTATCATTGATGAAATGGTCTGTGAAGTTTTTGTAATCATATGCAGCAGAGATGATGTTTGAACTTCCAGTTAGTTAAAGCAAACTTATGTCATTAGCAATTGGTGAAAACATGTAAACCAGGACTTCATTCTTTATTAATTCTTAATGTAAAATAAATTCATAACCATTAAAGAAAAAATACATGATATGTCCAACAGTATCCAGACAGCCTTCTAAGCAGTGAATTCATCTACTTAAAGGTTCCACTGCTGACACAAGTGCATAGCTTGAATAATCTACACAGAAAAGCATTGTCAATAGAATGGGACAGTCTAGAGCAGCCATACATGAGCCTAAACTCACCATGTCCAATGCCAAGTGTGAGCTAGAGGGGTACAAATGCCCACAGCATTGTCCTGTGGAGCAGTGGAACTGCCTTTTCTGGAGAATTGGAGCTCCATTCAGTATCTTTAAGATGATCCAGAACTAATCATCCAACATCAGTAGCCGACCTCACTAATGCTGATGTGGGTGAATGCAATCAAATCCTCACAGCAATGTTCCAACATCTAATGTAGTTTTTTCTATGGAAGCCCTGAAGCTTTAAGATGGAAAAAAATTAAAATGAAAGTGCATTCCTAAATTTTAGCTTCACTTCTTCCTCATATTTTTTCCACTACTCAGACGAGCGAGAAAAAAGAGGGAAGAGAACAGCCGCCCCCTGCTACTCAAAGCTGGTATTGAATGCTAATTGTAAGCCGCTTAACTCCTCAGTGAATTTTTCTTTTACCTGGTACCCAAAGGGTAATCGATAAAAGAGCCGGCCCCTACTGGTCAAACCTGGTGTAATGTGTGAAGTGTTAGACTATATATTATTTCATACAGAAGTGGAAAATAATTGAGCCTTTTGAGTTTTTAAATGGTTAAAATTGTACATGTGATGCTGGATTTTTATTTTCAGCAACACATTTTAATTTCTTTCATCTTACCCCTCAGGGCTTCCCTAAGTTTTACTGTAAAACTCTAAGACATGCAGAGAAGTGGTACACCAGGACCAGTTGACAAACACTGAACTAAGCCTTCCCTGAAATGTGAAGTTACTGCAGGAAAGGGGCCAAAGTCAATTCAGCTCCTTTCATATTCATTTGTATAGCACGTTTTACAATATGTGTTGTTATAAAACAGCTTTACAGAGATGTACAGGTCTGAGCTCCAAACAAGCAAGCCGAGGGCCAGAGTGGCAGGAAAAGCTCCATAAGAAGAAGAGGAAGAAACCTTGAGAGGAACCAAGACTCAAAAGGGGAACCCATCCTCCTCTGGTCGACATCGGATAGCAATAAAATAACACAACAAGAGCAATATAAATAAAGAATAACAGATCTTTTTTCTTTAGCACTGACAATATAACATGTTATCAACATTACATATAATGCATTATATGTACAATGCATACTGCATAATAAACATGCTATAAAGACTAATGCATTCTTGAAACATTAATAGATATGCCTTATGCATGCATTATACATATATCAATGTGATTCTTATAAACTGTTACCCATTTTTACATGTTTTTTCAATCATTCTGAATAATGATAACACCAATGACTTTTCAGTTCTATCACTGAAGTTCTATAATTGTTTTTCTCCATATATTCAAATCAGTCTATTCATTGTCCTTGTACAGCACATATAATGATCTGAACAGAGTTGGTAAGCAACAGAAATGCTCATCTGTACATTGCAGATGGGTCTGTAGCAGTTTCAGTTCTAATAGAGATCTATTATGAGCTTCTTCTGGAGTCCCAGGAGACCTGCTTTACATACAGTTTATGTTCATGTTCTGTTTTAACAGATCACCACTCGTCATGCTTCACTCTCCCTCTCGAAAGTTGCTTAAATTAAAAATACTGCATCTGTAACACTGCAGAAAACATTCAGAGAAATTTTGCAGTCAAGATTTTGATTAATAACACATGGTCATTAACAGGGTAGAGTAGAGCTGATAAAATGTGCATTAACAGATTTGCACCCATATGTAGAAGAACCTGACAAAATGGCCAAAGATTGTAGGTACAGGGTAGATACAAAATAAGTGTTAAATGTTTTCAAAACTGGAGTTCAAAGAATGATTAAAAACTGAGACTCCTAACAACCATGCTAGACCTGGTAAAGACCAAAACTGCCCCCTCAGATAAACAGCACTTAATGCTTTCATCTTTGAGAGAGAGGAGAAAATCAAGCTGCTTCAGATCTGAAAACATCCGCAGGTGTTTCTGTCCATCCTTCCACTGTGAGGAGACGACTCAGCACTGTGGGTTTGAAAGGATGTGTAGCTGTCAAGAAGCCTCACTGAGAAAATTAAATAGACAAAAAAGAAGCTGATAGTGTTCTCAGAACAGTGGATTGACCACTCCAGAGTCCAGACCTCAACATCATTCAATGTGTTTGGGATCACTTGAATCATGAAAATGCAACTAACTTTTAGGACTGAACTTTGGAGGTTTGGAAAAATATCCCTGCAGATTTCTTACTTGTATTATTATTATTATTATTATTCATTTATTTATTTATTTTTTGAAAAACTCAAAGCAAATCTTTTGAAAAAAATGGAGTGGACAAACAAAATACTGAAAAATATGTTTTTATATTTAGTTTTTGATGCTTCAGTGTAGGTTTTTGTTAAATATATGTTTCCTGATGCTGAAAAATGAATCATGCGCACTTAATGGCCATTTTGACTGGAAATGAAATGGTTGAAGAGTCTCAGACTTTTATACCATATATATATATATATATATATTTTTAGATGGAATGGTGGTGTGTGTGTGGGGGGGGTGGTGTGTGGGGGCTGACAAATTGTGCAGATACAAGGCAGATGTTTCTAATAAACTGGCCACTCATTGCATACTGCAGGAAGTGAGATTGGAGTGCACCATATATGAGCATGTGTGTGTCTCATGGGGATGTGTCTCTGCTCTGGCTGTGTTTAAAAGGCGTGATAGTGTGTGTGTGCTGCTTATACGCTTCTCTGAAAGACTCGTCTCTCTGATCATTTACACAGCTGAACATGATGATGCTGAACACTCTCTCCCTCACTGCACTCCTGCTCAGTCTCTATGGTAACTTTACTCAACATTTCAACCTCTCAGACCGTCTAGTGACACATCAGCCACACATCCTGTTAAATGCTCTGTTCTTTAAAACTGATCATTAATGTAATCTGATTTCTGATCTCTCTGCTCTGTTCACTTCAACAGGTCTGGAAGGTCTTGTGTTGACCCAAGAAAAGTCCGTGTCTGTTCAAGCTGGTCAGAATGTGAAGATTCTGTGCTCTCCCAGTAGCAGTAGTTGGGCATTAACATGGTACCAACAGAAACCTGGTGAATCTCCAAAGTTCTTGCTTGAGGACAGCACGAGGGCAAGTGGACTGCCGAGTCGATTCACCTACAGTGAATCTGGATCACAAGAATACCTGCATATTAACGGAGTTCAGGCTGAAGACGAGGCTGTTTATTACTGTGCTTGCCATGGCTGTGAGGGCTCCGGCACAGTGCTGCAGTTCAATAAAGCTCTCATACAAAAACCCCAACAAGCCCTAAAACAGACTTAAATGTGCCTCAAACACTCACAGCTCTACCCAGTGACACTCACTCAGTTCAGTGTGAGATGATCATGAGTTCTAGACTGAATCCTGACCCAGCTGTAGTCATTTTGTCCTGTTTAGACTAGTTTGAATTCTGCACTCCTGGTCACTGAAGTGTTCAGTCTGAGCAGAAGCAGTGAGATACGGCCCTGAGGTTTTTGTACTGAGCTCTAACACTGTGATACGCAATTTTCGGTGGAGGCACTGAAGTAACTTTCGGTGAGTAAAATCTGCTCCTGTCTTCAAACTATGCAGAATTTTTTTAACTACATTTAAACTAAAATAACAGATAAAGTATATTTGTAATGCAATGTAAAATACAACAAAAATCTATCATAAAAAAAAAAACAGGGAAAACCTATTTTTATTTTAAAAAAAAATTAATTAAACACTTAAGTAAGCAACAACAGAGACAACAACAATAGACATTATCTAGATCCATGAATTCAGTTCTATATATTTAAGTACAGGACATGTTTATACTTTCTACTCAAGCACTTTGTAAGGAAAGTACTTCTACTACTTCTACCTCAGTTCCCATTTAGTCCTTCACATTTAGCTACTAAATGCTTTCACTGGGTTTAATTTCATTCTAGTCAGTTTGTTCAGCTCCTGTACTGCCTTTGCTGTTGATCACATCTCTCACTTCTAGCTTTAGCATTTTATTGTAGCATCCCAAAAAGAGAAAAACAGAGCCTGACAAACTTCAGTTTCTGTGCTAAAAGATGCTGGATGTATTAAGAAGCTCCACTGCAGCTCTGAAGTTCTGTACTTGCTGAGTTTTCATGTTCATAGGTTTTTATTTTTCAAGTTGCTACTTGTGATCATGATTCAACATTATTTCATCGAGGCAACAACACTTTTACTTGAAGATGGTTTTCTGCTGCTCTGGGCAAGAATTCTTATAGAAGCCATAAATATGTGCATTTTTAATTTTAATGTGATTATGTATAGGTCGCTCTCAGAGCAAAATGTCCTATGTCCAAAATGGTAGCTTTTCAAGGGAAGGAAAAAAACCTTTGTAACTTTTAGTGTAAGTTAATGCAACACAATTGTATTCAAAGTCATTTTGGGCCATTTTTATTGGTTTGCTCACCATGAAATGTTGACAAAATATTGAAAGTAGCCAGCATTGTTGTTTTAATTAATTAATTCATTCATTCATTCATTCAAATAATTAATATTTTATTTAATATTTTCACTCAGCTTTCAATCGTTCGTCTACATATATATGTACACACACACACACACACGCACACACACACACGCATACATATTGAAATCTCAGGTAGACAATTTCTTATGGAATTATGATAAATAGATAAAAACAGTATATTATTTATTATTTAACAAT